AGGCAATGGAGGCCATTGTGGCCAAAGTCATCCTCATGAAAGCGGTTTTCCATCGATACCCTAATGTTTTGCACGAGCTGACTCTCCTGTGATACCGCAGGATCGTTGCTCAGTGTAGGGTCAAGGGCTGGATGTAGTATTGTGTAATGACGTAACCCCAGCACGTCTGAACTCAGCCCACCACCAAAGTGCGGCCGTACGGGACTGAGGTTCTCAATGATGGGTACAATGCCGAGCGCATCGCGTTGGAGATACTCGCGAGGGTCGAGATCGTGCAAGGAATGCAAGCGTATTGTCTTGTTCTGCATGGTCAGAACATGCAAGGGGGATCGGCCGTAGCAGTCCCGCGCAAGCATGTTGAAGTTCAAAGCTCGTGCAACTCTGATCAATTCTTCGACATGATCAGGACCAACAGATTCATCATCTCTGATGACATGCATAAATGTTTGCCCCGCAGTATTCTGATCGTTGATAATGTCCTTGACGGTACCGCTTGTGAGAGCTTGGTACAATACCGGGAAGGGGGCATAAGCTGCCAGGAAATGCAGCACGGTGTGTCGATGGCGATCCAGCAGCAGAGCATCATGTCTGCTGGTTTGCGTAGAGATAAACATGTGAGCGCCAGGCGATGGTCCTTCAGGTGTCATCCAGTGGAAAGTTCCCTGAGACTGGGCTAACCAATCCTCCCATGTCGGCGCAATGCTAGGAATATGGCCGAATCGGGCGGAAAAGTCGACGTTGAGGAGATGTCCTGGTAAAGGAACGTCGATATCAAACACAGTCGTCGCTTCAGGGCCGCCGATCCAGTCTTCGTTCCAAGCCACACGCAAGCCACGTTCCTGAGACATAATCTCCAGGCCGGCTGCTGGTGAGGTGAACCTCTTGACCAGACGCTTGACCACCTTGACATACGGTTCTGAATATCCGGCAAGATGCTTCCTGAATGTGCCTGTGGTGTTGGCGCTTGATTCAGTCATGAAAGTTGTCGCGCGGAGGAACTTGGCAAAGGGGCCCTCGCGAGGACAAACACCCATAGAGTTACTCCGGTATCCGCAGTTCTGGCTGAGAGTCTCCTCTGGTATGTCAAAGAGGACGCAGGACCTAGACGCTTGCGATTCCATGAAGACATCGCTACCATGGATCGAGCCCGAATATGCATCGCTTGGAGACGCACTCGACGGCCTCGAGCCCGCTCCCACGCTGCTCTCATGGTAATCGCTCCCACCACAGAACGGGGAGTGTCCTTGAGCCTCATGAGCTGAGGGAAAGTGCACTTCCGACGCAGCACGGACTTGGACTGGCGAGTTGGCTAGCTCGGTGATTCGCCGCCCCATATCGTCTTGGTCGCGGGGATGAAGCCATCGCGGCTCTTTGTCAAAGAGCGTCTGGAGTCTCTTGTTTGCGGAGCTCTGTCTGTTGTTTGCGCATGTTAGCCGTCTGACTGCACAGCGTATGTCGAGAAAATAGAATGGCCGCCAGCAGCACTACAGTAGGTATGGTAGCTACATATAGCTGCCTTGAACTCGGCTGAGCTTACTGGATAGTCTTGTCGGGAGGCTGCTGTCCGTTGATGATGGCGCGAATCCTATCAACGGACAGTGTTGTAAACACATAGAGCCTAGCCATCTTGCGCTGGGCAGACGAGGACCATGTTGCGGGACGACCATTTGGACTGATTGGCTGGTTGTCGGGCGAAGTCGACTGCGTCGGTATAGTCAGTGTGGGCATTGGCCGTCCGCTCATGGTCCCTCGCAGCTCTATTCTGTTGTTTGTGCAGCTGAAGAAGCGATAGCCCGAGTTTGGTGTTCTCAATTGAAAGAAGTAGTAGAAACAAGAGCACAGGCTAATCAACGGGGCCGGCAATCCCGTCTCGACAAGTCAGAGAGAAGCGTTGGATGCATCATGATGTTGGTCGGCTGCGGGAGTATTTGAGCAAAGGTCTATCGATGGCGGAGCAAGCCATCAAGTGACCCGAGGGAGGCAGCTCTGCAGAAGCTTGCAGCAATTCCCCTCATATCCGCTGGTCTTACATTCGGCCGCGAACTGTTGTTGGAGCGACACGATGCCTTTTCTTGCAAGTTTGTCGTGGTCATTCCTGTGATGCCCGATGCAAGACCGCAACGTGATTGGCCAGCCTGGTGCCAGCGGTGCCAGCCTAGCGCTGCGCCTCAACACCATCAGTGACGTTTGGTCTTTCGGAGGGTGTGGCTGGTGTGGCGGAGCGAGATGGGACAAGCTGCTGTGGGATTTTAAAGATGCCTCTTCCTCCCTTCACCTCTTCGGCCCCCATCTCATTGCGAGGCCATGGTCACGGCCAACGCATAAACCCCAGACGTCAGAGCCATTTGTCTCGCTTGGAAGAAGATTGAGGCTCTACTGTACGGCATCAGTCATCAGCCAAGACTCAACATGTCCAAAAAGGCGGTTATTATGTGGTCAACAAGGCTCCAAGGCAGCAAACTCCAGATTACCTAACGTGATCCTTTCCATGCACAAGCAACGGGCGCCCTTTGCATGCGCAGCAACACAAGCTTGTTCATCCTTGTATGCACACACACACAGTCAGTCAGGCACAAACAGGCAACCAGCTCAGAAAGTGGCCGGCAACCACAGCGATGGAGCCCCGGTCAGCGAGAAAGCCTCCGGAGGCCGCTGTGACTGTGAGAATTCTGGCGTCTGCATTCTTCACTCGGCCCCTGCATGACATCCAAGTTTCAAGACTTCCCAAATGCCCACTTTAACACGCATCCAGCAACACGGCAAAAACGCCGGGCGACATGGTGCGAAAAAAGGGGGGGGGATACCGTGCAATACGAGTTTAATCTATTTTTCCAAGTACAAGTATGAGGCACTGTACAAATTCCTGCTCTTGCACAGGCTCCGTCCGCAAGGATCACAAACCACGCGAGCGCGCTCCAATCCGGAAGGCAAACGCAGCAAAGGTCGGCTGTGCTGGTGCCCCGGCCGCTGCTCCACACAAACGAAAAAAAGGAGAAGCTGTGGGAAAAGGAGATTTCCCTTCAGCGTTCGATGACTCGTATAACCGGCTGGCCAGGGCAGGTTGATTACTTTTGAGCGCCGGCAGACGAGAGGCGAGCGGTGAAGATGGCTCGCGTCGTCAAAGGACTGCGTCTAGAAGGTCGACAGGTCATTCAATCAAACAACTCACTCATTCAGCTCGGCTGGGACACACACATGGGTTCCGGTCTAGGCTCAGGTTCATGTACAGGGACAGACACTGTGCTCGTACCGTGTGCGGAGTTCGGCATGCCTTCCCACATGGAGTCTCAATCGTCTCGTCTCGTGTCTCGGCGCCGCGCGAAATTTGTCCCAGATCGATCATCGCACACGCATACGCTGCCGTCTCACCACCCATTGCCACTTCACCCTCCCGCCTGGAATCGACAAAAGTCTCGCACTAAGCATCGACGATCGCAACAACACAAGAGTGAGTGGGCATTCCCACAGGCACTACTCGGACTCCGTACATACAAAGGACCTACTGTGCATCGTCGTCACATTAAAACCTGACAGGCCCGAAAGGCTAAAGCCACCAAGAAACGCCTCGCAAAAAACCACTGCACCAATGAGCGCCACATCCGGCATCCCGCCCGCTGCCAGACTCGACGACAGCGAAAGAGAGAAAAACGCCTCTACGGGGAAAAGCATCTGCTTGAAACAGCTGCCGGGGCCCCAGGCGCGCCCCTGGATAATTTAGCTAGCACTAGTGTGGGCAAAGGAGATCCCAGTGGAGGATCCCCTCTTGGATGGGTGTCGTGGGTTTTTTTGGTACCTGCAGAAGTGCCATGTAAATGACCGTCTCGTGCATACGTGGCATACCGGTATCATCCTCCAAAGTACTCTACAAGCTATACAGTGCATCTTGCATCTTGTCAGGAACACAGATGCAAGGACCGGGATCGGCAAGCACCGCATGTACGGTGCTGACAGCAGATGCCTCACATCACGGACAAGTCAAACCAAAACCAGCTGCTGCGAAAAGACAAAATATCCACCCTTTCAAGCATACAGTAAGCCTATGTACTTGCCCGTCAACCAGGAGACGAACATCCATGCCTCGAGCACCGATTGGCTCTCTGTCCTACAAACTCGTACAATCATCTCCTCATCTCATCCCATCCCATCCCATCCCACAGACGCAGAGAACCACCATCACTCATACTGTACGAGTACATCCTCATCCTCATCCTCGTATACACAACAAAATCACCACAAAAAAACACCGTCTATCCCCCTCTCGGCCAATGCCACATACCTTTCCCAAACCAGTAAAGCCGAAGAAGCCGCCCGCTGCGGCGTTTTTTCTTCCTCCCTTCTCCCCAAGGTTCTTTGTTCCGCTGTCTTAAAAAAAAAACTTGGACCGACGACCAGGGAGAGGGGGCCGCTATTCCCACTTTAACCACAATCTTCACCGTTGTCTTAGACACCACACACTTTGACCATGGAAAAACACGCTGTAGATCTGACTAAAGTGGCTCCTTAGTACGCACCCAACGTTACTTTGGATCTGAGCCCATTTCTTACGGTGCCTGACTAGCATCGACGACCAGTTCGGTGGCGGCACTAATTCGTACTATTACGGGTTTACTAGCAAGAAGAATGCATCCTCTATCCGATGCATCCGCAGGCAAAAGTTTGCTGTACGTACAGTCATGTTGTTCATTGGCTTTCAACTCGTAGAAACATTCCACCTCACAAGAAAACAAACATCGTTGTCACAAGAGGGGGAGACATCAGGTAATTTTAGACTGCCTTGCCATTCAACTAATATAGAATAAAGAAATAAAAATGGTCTACGTTACCATATGAAGCCTTGTCCATGTATCCAAAATCTAGCGGACCTGGTGCGGCTATGTAAGAATAAAGCAAAATAAAAAATCCTTCTCTAAATCATACTATTTACACGTTTCTGATCATGACATGGATGATTCCCAAGTGTACATGTTCCAGACCCAAAAACACACTTTAGCTTATCCAATTTACAAAAGGAAGACTGCAGCGGCAGCGATGGCAGCAAAGAGGCTGCCACCAACACGGCCAGCACTGTTGCCAGGAGGGGGAATGCCTGAGCCGGGGTTGCCACCAGGGGCACCAGCAGGGTTGGTGCCGACAGGAGCAGGGGGGTTAGCCGGAGCAGTGTACACCGGGGATCCGGCCGGGGCGGTTCCAACGGGAGGAGGAACAACGGGAGCAGTTCCAACGGGAGGAGCATAAGGAGGAACCACAGGGGTGACAGCAGCGGCAGAAGACGCGGGAGGAGGAGCGATGACAACCGGGGGAACGCTGGCGGGAGCGCTGGGGACAGCAGGAGCGCTAGGAGCAACGGGGCTGACAGCGGGAGGAGTACCAGCGGGAGGAGTGTAGGCGGGCACGGTCTGAGAAACAAGAGTAGGGATCTCAGAAGGACCGTTGGGGCCGTTGGGGTAGACCGTGGTGGTGACGCTGCCAACGGGGCAGTTGGGAGTTCCGGGAGGGCATCGGGTGACGGTGAAGGTCTGGGTGATGTAGGAGGTAGCGGTGGTGGTGGTGGTAGGCTCGGCACCAGGAGCAGTGTAGACGGGGCCACCAGGAGCAGTGTAAGCAGGGCCGCCAGGCTGGCCGGGAGTCTTCTCAGTGGCGGTGACGGGGCAGATGGTGGTGGAGATGGCAATGGTGTCAGTCACAGTCTTGGGGCGAGTCGGGCAGTTAGTGACCTCAGGAGGGCACTGAGTGATGGTGCGGACCGTGGTGGTGTAGATAGTGGAGGTGCTGTACTGAGGAGCGCCAGTGGTGACAGGAGAAGAGCCGCCGGAGGTCTGAGCAGGAGGAGCACCGCCAGCAGGACCAGTGGGGTAACCAGAGCCGGCAGGGGGAGCACCACCAGCAGGGCCGGAAGGAGAAGATCCAGATACAGAGCTCTGAGCAGGGGGAGCACCGCCAGCAGGGCCGGAAGGAGAAGAGCCGGAACCAGAGTTGGCAGGGGGGGTGGGGTAGACAATCGCGGTGGAAGTCTTAGGGTGCTCTCCCTCGCTGGCAGTAACAGGGCAGATGGTGGTGGAGATGGCAATGGTGTCAGTCACAGTCTTGGGACCAGCGGGGCAGTTGGTAACCTCAGGAGGGCACTGAGTGATGGTGCGGACCGTGGTGGTGAAGATGGTAGAGGTGCTGTACTGAGGAGCACCGGTGGTGCCAGCGCCAGCAGGGCCGGTGGTGACGGGAGAAGAGCCGCCGGAGGTCTCAGCCGGAGGAGTGGGGTAGACGGGGATAGTCTCGGTCTCAGCAGGGCCAGTAGGGGCAACACCAGTCTCGGTGCCAACGGGAGCAGTCTCAGTACCAGCAGGGCCAGTAGGAGCAACACCAGTCTCAGTACCAGCGGGAGCAGTCTCGGTGCCAGCAGGGCCGGTGGTGACGGGAAGCTGACCACCGGAGGTCTCGGCGGGAGGAGTAGGGTAGACGGGGATGGTCTCAGTAGCAGGGCCAGTGGGAACAACGCCAGTCTCAGTGCCAGCGGGAGCGGTCTCGGTACCAGCAGGGGCAGTCTCAGTGCCGGCAGGAGCAGTCTCAGTGCCGGCGGGACCGGTAGGGACAACAGCAGTCTCGGTACCAGCAGGGCCGGTGGTCACAGGAGAAGAACCGCCGGAGGTCTCAGCCGGAGGAGTGGGGTAGACGGGGATGGTCTCAGTAGCAGGGCCGGTGGGAACAACGCCAGTCTCGGTGCCAGCAGGAGCGGTCTCAGTACCAGCGGGAGCAGTCTCGGTACCGGCAGGGCCAGTAGGGATAACAGCAGTCTCGGTGCCAGCAGGAGCAGTCTCAGTACCAGCGGGGGCGGTCTCAGTGCCGGCAGGGCCGGTGGTGACGGGAGAAGAACCGCCGGAGGTCTCAGCCGGAGGAGTAGGGTAGACAGGAGAGGTCTCGGTCTCAGCAGGTCCGGTAGGAACGACAACGGTGTCAGTGCCGGCAGGGCCAGTAGGGACGATCACAGTCTCGGAAGCAGCAGGGCCGGTGGTGACAGGAAGCTGGCCACCAGAGGTTGAAGCAGGAGGAACAGGATATCCGGGAGCAGTCTCGGAGTGACCGGGGTGGCCGGGATGGCCAGGGTTTCCGGGGTAGCTGGGAGTTGAGTGAGGCTTGCCGGGGTGAGTCTTGGTCTCTTCGCAGTCCTCGCTGCTGGAGTGAGGCTTGCCGGGACCGCCAGGACCTCCCGGGTGGCCGGGGTTTCCGGGGTAGCTGGGAGTAGACTGGGGCTTGCCGCCGTGAGTCGTGGTCTCATCGCAGTCCTCATCACCACCGTTGCCAGGCTTGCCAGGCTTACCAGGCTGAGAAGGAGGAGTAGGATAGACAACGGGAGTAGTCTGAGCCGGGGGAACGGGGTAAGCGTTCGAAGAGCCGGCGGGAGGAACGGGGTAAGCGTTCGTGGGTGTGCTGGCCGGGGGAACGGGATAGGCGTTGCTTGAGGAGCCGGCGGCGGGAGGAGTAGGGTAGGCAGGCTGGGAAGTAGGAGCAGCGCCGCCGTCAGTGTGTGTGGCCGTGTAAGTGACGCAAGAGCAGGCAGAGCTGAAAGCGTTGTAGTCGGGGCAGTTAGCGTAGTCTGTGGGGATAGCCGCGTTGGCTGTAGTGGTGCCGGCGAGCCAGCTGAAGCAGGCGCCAGTGGCTTCGGCGCTGAAGCGTTCATCGATCAGGTTGCGGTAGCAGTTGTCCTGCTCGCAGTTGGGGTAATGCGTAGCATTGGCCGCGCCAATGGCGATGGCGCCAACAACAAAGGCGCCCTTCATGATTAACACAATAACGATAAAACTTCTTAGTAACTGTCTTGCTGAGGGTATAAACGAATGAACCTCTCAGTCAAAAGACGTAAGAAAGAAAGTGCGTCCAGCAAAAGAGTGTGTTGGGATAAGGAAGGAAGAAGGGTTCCGAATCTGGGGACCTCGGGGACGGACGGCAGCCTTATATCTTTGCAGGCTTCCAACTTCCATTGGAAACAATCGAAAAAACTGGCTGGGCCCAGGTGCCATGGTGCTAGCCCGGAATACGAAAATAACCCTGCACGGGTGGTCCAGGTGGTGAAGCCGAAAACGCTGGGTCGTATGTCCCCGTGCTGCGTGCATGATTTGAGAGGAGGAGGTCCAGGATCCATCTCCTTTGAGGTGCAGCCGCAGCCGCCACCCGATGCCCAGCTCCACCATCCAGGCACATCAGCACATGCGTCGGTACCGGTACAAGCAGAGCAGCATCTGCATACTGTACTGTGCCATGTTGGGAGGCGCGTGCAGGCCACGAGGGTGGAACCGCCGGTGCCAAAGGTGCATGGCAGGGATGGCAGTACTTTGCACACGCAGCACTGTACGGCTCAAAGGCCAGAGGTCAGCCTTCAACGAGAGCGAAGGCGTGCTTCTCCACCGTGCGCCCCTGACTAGGCTCTTAGCGCAACAGTGTTTCCGCCAACGCAAGTGCAGGGAGGGCCTGGCAGCGCCTCGCAACCTGTTGACGACCTGTCTCTCACGCTCTCAGTGGTGGTTCCTTGACCAATCCTTTGCGCCTGTTGACCATTTCCTGCTTCTGTCTCAACAAGGCGTCTCTCGCCGTCGCTTGTCCTTTCGCTTGCTCAACTGCTCGCCATTCGCTCGCTTTTCCTTCTCGCTGTTTGTTTCTGCTCATCTCGCAATCTCGATCATGCTTGGGGCAGCGATGTTTGGTCGTCTGGCCCCGTCTCTACCCCATTCCTCGCTCTCGGCCAGTCTTTGGAAACATGCACCCATCCATCGCAATCTCTTGAAAGGACGAGGCCCCCTGTTCACCTAATACGGAGAAAGGCGGTCATTGTGCTCTGTCATCAAGTACAGTATGGTATTACTCGTACTTGGTCATTAATAGGAGTACTCCGTACTAGTACTCCATCGTATTAGTCGTCGTCGTAGAATTCCCTGGAAATTGAATAAGACTTGCACCTCGATTGAGGGACACAAGGTATCTTCCTTTCCTTTTTTTCCGGCCCTCCCATGTCCCACAATTTCCACCCCACGGACAGCCCCTCTATGCCAGTGCGACCAAATGTTGTACGAAGTCTGAATTGGGTCGTGGCTGGATGGGCAGGATGCTCACAGCATGATGAGTGAGGTACGGCATTCGTATGCCGTTGGCAAAGGTGCTATCATTAGCAACAAACACTCGTATTAGCGTATGCCAATATCAGACTCAATGTAACATGATGTAAGGCATGTATTGTCCAGAGCTCTCAGAGTTGGCAGGCCACCGGAAATGATCAGCAAGGCGGCACGCCTGAGTCTCTCTCTGTCCAGGCTCATTGGCGAGATTCGTATCGGTGATCCGAAATTAGAAATCAGACCATGCCCTGTTCTGCACTGTCCGGCGGTTCAGTCGCCTTATGTAATAGGAATCCGCTGTACCTGCTGTATAAAGACGGTCAGGCTTATGCTCTGCATAGGGAGACAAGACCTGTAGACTCCAAGACAAGATCGATATCGACAACTTAAGCGCCCGCTATCTGAGCTATTCGGTGAGACACCTTCGGCGTGTATCTTGCCCAAGGCATCAATTAGTTTTGCAACGTAGGCCGACATTGGCAAAGTGAATGACCTACTATGCCACAACTCGTTATTTGCAGGCATGATGGTGACTAGCATATGGTGCGAATTGATATGTTTCTGTGATTCGCCGAGACTTTGACGTTTTCCTCGTGATGAATTGGTTGGCCATCAAGAATACCCGGGAGCTTGCAGAATGCAAGGCCGTGCTGCCATCATTCTGCTGCATTGCAGATCCATTCAGGTGGCATCGCATCCGGTGTGTAAAGCTATTCCCATTGATTCAGAAAGACAGCAGGTTGCAAAGATACGCGGTCGTTTCCTCATGTCCTCACCATCGTCTTGTCACTGACTGTTGCTATTCTTGTTTCCGATCATCTCTCTCTCCGCTCTGAGTCGGGCACGTCACCGGGTTGACGGGTCCCCGTGCCGTGGCAAGCGCTCTGTTTGCATGTATGTACTCCGCACTGTCCGTACCAGTGACTGCCAGCAGTAACTCGCAGCATTCACACTAATATCACCGTTGTTGCGGCACCGGAAATGCAGAACAGGCTGCCAAGGCGCAAAAGACTGCAGTCAAGCAGCGTCCCGCGCGAAATGGTTGGCTGTGGTGCGTCCGTGAGGCGTGGCTGTTTGTTGCAGCGGCTTAGGGCGTGCTGTGGTAACCTCACGTCGGGCCGCCCTAACCACTCAAATCAGCAGGGATGTTGCTTGCTGGGCTGTGCTGATCTGTTTGACAGTGACAGGGATGGTGGAGTGAGTCGAAAGAGGGATCATGCTGGCTGAAAAATGGACGGTTGAGGATGATGATGGCAGAATGACCGCGCGGGATTACTCGAGTGCAGAGATTCGGAAGAGCTGGAACTTGCAGGTATCGCCGTGGCCAATCGATCCTTCCCGGACTGCCGTTGCGCGCTCAGGAAGCTGCGATCCAGCTGGAGCGGTTGGGCTGGGATGATCGCGGCTCGCCGTGATGGACGGAAGGAACGACAGAGGCACACCCGAGGTCGATCTACCTCGGCTGCCCACGCACCATCGCGCCTGTATGATGTACCAAGGTACAAACGGCTCTCATCCTCTCATCGTCTCCGTAATAATTTCTGTTTGATCTCGCCCTGTTTTCTTTTTTTTCTCCCATCATTTCTTGGCGAGATCGTTACGATCCAACCAATTTTATCCCTACAAGGTTCAATTTTCCTGCGCCCTGCCGATCTCCAGAATCAGAATCAGAGTCTTCGCACAGTCGCACAATCCACACACGAAAACGTAGCGACTGGCCTCGGCTCACGTCCGGAGTCTTGGACGAGAATTTGCGTCTCAGTGGACCTTGACAGCGTCATAGAAGAGACGTCGGCAGCGTTTCAACAAGTGAGCCATTTTGTCGCTCCAGAGAGCCAAAGCACGCCGACAGGCGGTTCATACGGTTCTGTACCTGTACAAGCAAGTTCGAGGCAGCAATCGGCCTGTCAAAAGCAGAGACAGGCTCGTTGTCGGTGGTGGCTCTTGTTGTTGGCAATGTGGGCACTTGAGTAATGCTTTGATTGACCGATGACACCGCATCGGTCTAGTTTTTTTTTCTTGCTTTCTTTTTTTCCGTGTTGGTGAATACGAGGTTGCTCAGCTTCATCTCGCATTATTAACACGCCCTACAGCCACCAACCGCTTCATGCAGCCTGACCATCCAGTCACATCGTTGCGACGGCCTCTGGGCAGTTGAGCTAACCATGGCCGCATCGATACACAAGCTGTGCCCTCACCAGCATCTCCAAGTCCTGCAGCGAGGGTCCACTGTCCACCGCACAAGACCCCGCCATTCCATATCCCGTATCCATCGACAGGAGAAGCCCGCTCGGCTGTGTGCTCGTGGTCCGTACAGTCTGTACACACACGAGCGGATCGCCGCATGGTAAGGTAGATGGAGTCTTGAGGTGTAATAATAGCATCGTGGCTTCGTATACTCATATGCTGCTGGTATTACAACTCACATGTGGGAAGCTGTCAAATAGGAGCCGCCATCTTAAGCTTATACGACTCCTGTGGACGCTGCTTTGCATCGAGACAAAGACTTCCTGCATGATCGGCTCGGCCAACTATATTGTCAGTCTCTAACACTTCGTACGAGTATACCACGACCTCATTCCAACGAGATGCATGTGTAAATGACATTTTCTAGTCCACATGCGGGGTGACGATTCAGTCAAGATGCATCAATTCTTGCCATGTACAACACCGTGTGTTTCTCTCATGGGATCCATCTTGATCCACCTCTGGTGGCCCGATCGTCAGGCCAAGTCCACGCACTGCATGGTGGCGAACGGGGCCAGGCAATGACCGTCTCTGCTTTCCAAAGTCGAGTGGTGCTAGCTCAACTGGCTGAGCAGTTGTCCCAGTTCACCCAGCTGTGCGTAGCCTCCTTTTAAAATATGTACCGACACAAAGAAACCTAGGTATCCAATAACCGGCGGATTGTTCGTATCTCCTCATGTTCCTTCTTGGTTGGATCAATGGTGGGCCAAATAGACTATAGATTGATGTGTTTGTTGTTGGGCCGAGCTCTGCCGGCGAGCTCCCTCTCTACCGTAATGTTTGGCAACCAACAGAGTGACCAGGCTATTTTTATAACCATCGTTGTAAATTCGGCCAATGACATCTCGAGGGAATAAAGACTCCTCCTCGGCCACCGTTCCGCTAGCCGTCCTGTCCACTCTTGGGCAAGTTGCGGTGATGAGCACGGACGCTGTCCAATGCCCAAGTTGAAGCTGGCTTTTCTTTCAGCTCCTCGCCACCGGGATTTTCCTGATGGAAATACTACCGAGCCACAGTATGTAGATGTGAGAGTATACGATGGCCGATCATCAAGTCCGCGTGGAGATTTGCCGATTCTGAACTCCTCGGGATTGGAAATAGTTTTACACCATGCGTGGTAGGTCGTTAGCCTCAGGGGAGGGTTGGCGATGTTCCACTGAATGACGCCATTACTAGGCCGAGCCTTAAGAAACTTGGTAAATATCGACTATTTCCTCGGACAGCGAGCTCGGATGAGGGCCGTAATGGCCCCGCCGTGCGTATGATGCCTTGGAATGTAATTGAGGATCCCATTCTAGGCTTTCTTGTATCATAGTGAGGTCAGGCCGCTTCAGAGCAAACTATTTGTCTGCCATGATCACAGCTAAGCTTGCAGTTTGATACTCCACGGAGGGTCGTCGAAATACGAGCTGCGGGCAATAGTTTGCGGGTTATGGCCTCTAAGTGGCTGCCTGATAACAGGCTGATCCTAGGTATCACGTCTATCGCGAGGATTCTATTAACAAGAGTGACTTAAATTACCTAGCCGAAGACAACTGTGCTTCAGTTCTAGCTACATCAAACAGAGATTACACACATTCCATATTCCTTAATCTCATATCTTATCGCGTGAGTTCCAACACCACCATCTTTCCGGACAGATAATATGAATATGACCATGTTGGCTTGTGGCAATGATGTGTACAGATGGTCTGTGAGACTTGGCAGTAAGTCGACAGTAAGTAAGTCGACACTAATTCGACTTCGAGTGTACTGTTCGTATTTCTTTGAACCTCCGAGTCGAATGATGAATAAGCTTGCCAGCTGCAAGAAGATGAGGCAAACACAGTTACTCCTTGTCGTTATTCTGCGTTTTTATTGACCTGAGGAGCACGAGGACCAAAACATGAGCGTCAAATCGGGATAATCAGGACTTTATGAAGCTCATCGCCGGATTGGATGCCTCTCCATCGTACATTGAAGCGTCAGCCTGCTCCTCAATGGTCATACTGTTATCCAACTACCCCTGAGCTTAATCGGTTCGGCCAGTTTTTGGCTGGTCGGAAGCTTTCACCAGGGACTTCAACCAATCGTCTGCCACATGGTTGGAGCAGAGAGCTCCCTTGAGAGACAAGGTTGGACCTTCTTCTTCGTACAGCTCTACGTCGAAAGAGTAGCGAATTTCGGCCCGAATGACCTCATCCTTATCCTCAAATGCGTTCGCTAGGAACGATTGGAGGTCAGTTGGGGGAGGCATGTTTGGAATGTCAACTTTCATAGGGGGCTTCTTCAAATCACGAGGCCAATCTCGCTGCCTGGGGACCTCGACATAGAAGAGAGCGACGTCTGCGGAAACACCAGGCGGGAGAGCCAAGCGATGGCCCGTGTAGGGCTCGTGGTACCTGGTTCTGGGCGCAACACAAAGAGCCGGGCGAAGCCAACTGTGAACGCGTAGTAAATACGCTAGATCTTCTTCTTCGTTACGCCTCCGCAAATATTCAGCTACTTTTCGAGCGTCTTGGCGCTGCGGATCGTCTTTGGCTGGCATGGGGAAGTACGGCTCCAACTCCACGGCAGCCATAGAGAGAAAACGCTCTGTGATGAAATCATCCATGCCCGGGGGTTCGTCCCATATATACTTGCTTCGCATTTCTCGGTCCGCATCATAATCGGTGGCAATGAGTTTGCGACAGATACTATCCGCAATCAGTAATGTTGCGAGTTTATTGGAGAGCGGCTTCGGCAATGTGTAGCCACTTTGTGCGATATCTCTGAGGTATACATTGACTTTGGTTCCAATGTCGGGTAAGAAGTCTCTGACGCTTTTCAGGCTGACGGCCATCAGGTAGGCTGTTGGAACGTGTGTAGCAATCATGCCATATTCTTCCTCATCATCAGTCTTTGGGATCCATTCTGATTCTGGGAAGGGGAATAAACGTGCTTGAAAGACTATCTTGTCGCATTTACCTGCCAAGTGTTGCTTCTATGCGACTTGTTCGGCAAGGCTGGCACGGCCCAAGAGCATTTTAAAGTAATCAAGGTCTTCGATGTCACCATTGCAGAGCGATGCGATGTCCAGAATCTGGGCGTTGACTTTGCGCTCATCAGTAAAGAAAACATGCCAATCTTTTTCCCAGTTGTGGCTGTATGGAAATGTGACTTGGAGTGAGACTTGTTCTTCTGGATTCATTGAATCAAATAGAGATTTGATGTTCTTGGCGACTCTTTGCAATGAAGCTGGCAGACGTTGGATGTGATCCCAGAAGTGCGATGGATACATGATGGTAAATTCGTGGGCTTCTACTACAGCAGTGACTCGCGCAACAGTGGTATTGGTGTGCTTGATGAAAGAAGATATCTCCGCCGTGGGTTCAATCGTCTTGAAATACTGCAAGTCTTGCTTGCGAAATTGTGAGTGAGCCACACCGAAATGATTCGTTCTCGGATCGGGAAACGTATCTTTCATCAGAGACTCATCAGTTGCGTCGAGGTAGTCGGTAGTCAGCGGCAACTTTGTTTGGCCCATTGGCAAGTTGATGACTGCAAAGTCACTTATTTCGTCCCCGTTTCGAATTTGAAGTCGGAAGATGACCGTGGATGGAATGCGAGATCCCCAAGCTGTCTGAACCTCCACTCGAAGGCCTGGAGCGACACTTCTTCCCATGCGCCCAATGTGGTGGCGAGCGAAACCGGGCAAAAGCGTCTCATTGACGTGTAGCAGAACGCTATTCCATACAGATATGGCTGCCATTCTTTTGAGAATGCTCCGAGTTTCATTGAGCGCAGCAGCTTCCTCGGCGCCAGCTCTTTCATCTCCCGAGGCGGCGACAGAAGGACCGGCCTCTACGGCATCGAGACCGTCAGACGCCATAGTGATAATGATGACTGATAAGAAGGAAAGTTGGGACAAAGTACATGTGTGTCGGCCCGAGAAGGATATTAGGTCGTGAGGTGGTGGTAATCGAAAACACGCTCTGCGAGAGCCCGCGTAGGGAGGAAGTAGACGGAGAAGAATCTGGCGCGTGACGTGTGACCTCAATAGTAAAAAAAAAAAGAATTAGAAAAAAATTGTGCGCGATATCACCTGATTAGCGGCAAGCCGCAGCTGAAGCGAGGACGTGAAATGAGAGAGATGTAGCGCCGTGACAGCTGTCTAGCAGTTACCAACTGGCGGCCGGGCGAGCCTTGAGTCGAAGCCATCAAAGCCAGATGCGTATGTAAATAGCTGAATGCTCTACATGTAGGTAGTTAAAGTACTTCGTACTGGTAGTGAAGAAAAGACAAGTGGGATGTTGCAAGTGTGTAATTTGACCGTCCTGGTCACTACGGAGAGGCCAAATAAAGCGATCGAGTGACACATCACAGATGCATCAGTAACTTCAAGAATAAGCAGTGAGACACCTCAGCAATGTCAGAATAACTTGTGTTTCACCAAACCTTTTTACTTTGGACTATTTAAGTCTATGTATTTCTGCTTTTGTATATTCATGGCGTACAATACACCATCAATCCTCATGCCGTAAAATCCTGTGTATGAGATTGTTGACAGACCGGGATGTGTGTCGAAAAATAGTGTCAGCAACAAGACGGCGCGAAATCTCGGAATATCGGGGTCGGTATAAATGCTGCTTGGACAAATTGTATCCCCGTGACTACAGCAACTTAAGTCAGTTACTCATCTTGTTAGCCAACATAAAGTGTCAATTACAATCATCGGTATCTGGCGTTTTAGAATGCTGGTAGGCGACAACCAGGACGGTATGAAACAATGGATTCATACCTAGGTAAACTACCTAAGCTATCTACCAACTATCTAACGCAAATGACCTGGTCCATAACTCGTCTCTCCATGAGGTGGGTTGCCCATCTCTCGACTGTGAATCCGTGAAGAAACCCCCCGTGTCCTCCCTTTGCCAGATGAACCATTTCCAATACCGAAAGAAGAAGGAAGCTAAACCGAACCAGCGAAACTTTTTAATATGCAGACCAACCGAGTAATGCAACGCGCAAACTCACTGTGCGATGCGACCATATGCCCATAACTGAAACTCGTGTCCGCCATCAGTCGTCGACTAAGGGTTGGCCGACCGAAATGGTTGAACGAATAGATGACTGCAACCCCTAGAAAAAAGGAAGAAAGACGAACTCCCACCCCTCCGTATATGGTTCAACGCAATTGGTGGCCCTGGCATGAGGGAAGATACTTGTATCTTGACGATGACACCCATCGTCTGCCGTCTGCCGTCTACCATCCATCCACGTCCCTCAATCTCACACGAAGCTGGTGATCCTCCGTCTCAGTGCTTTCACGCGTATGCCCCTAGACATATAACTCGTCGTCATTGATGAGTTCCTCGATGTGCTCAATTCCCGTGTCTTGACTGATGGCTTCCATGTCTGCATATCGGTTGGACGGTCGTCGAGAGTAACCAAAGGATTCGTACGAGGCCGTCCTAATCCTGTGTTCAACCGCGTGGCTCAAGTTACGCTTGTAAAGATTTTCCAGAACATATCGATTTACGTTCATCATTGCGTTGATTACAGTAGCCAGTCGCGAATTTGTGGTGCGCGGACGCGAGTGTGGAATATCAAACTGTAACATGTTCAACTTAAATTGAGCTATATTTCTCACGGTGTGGTCGACTGAGACGGGAGTCGTGTTGATGGTTGTCACAGTTTTTCCAACACCCGCCGAGCTCACTGGTTCGGCGTCTAGGTTAATGACCACGCCTCCGTCCAAAATGAGGCCCCTGTATCGTTCGGTGGTGCGGATAATTGCACCGGAATCTGCCTCTTCTCTCCAGTGCTCCACGGATGTGTGTGCATAATGAAACGTGTTCAGGTTGATGAGCAGCGATATCAAGTAATCATTGCCCATTCCTTCAGCGTTGCGTCTCGTTATGAAGGCGATGGCAGCTACCACGCTCGGGGCGTCGAGGATATGCACTTGGCCGGTTAGCTGCGTTGCTCTGGCAATTGTGTGCATTTCGAAGCTCAAATCGTTATAACCACCCCATTGCAGCCAGTTTTGCGCCTGCAAAACGCCCGTCGAGACGCACTTGTCAACGCATTTGCGGAAACAGGCCTGATGCTCGGCAGGATCGACATCAATCAAGTGGAAAACTCTAGTGACCAACAGTTGATAGCGCATCTCTTGTTCCTCTTTGGAGATGCCTTCAAAGTAGCTTGCGCTTGCACCGCCATAGCCTCCCTTTGGCTTGATATATGTCTCGTTCTTCAGACGCACTTGTTCGGGGTCTGAGTCGGGAGGGACGTTGATGGTGACAATAGGATTCTCCCACCACTTTCGAGAAGACATCCTGTCGTTGCCTAACGAACTGTCAAGTTCGTTCCGCTGCTTTTAATATGCTTCCAAAAGATGGAGAGTGGTGATTCGTTTAACGAGAGGAGGTGTGTGTAAACGATTGCGAAACTGCTGTGGTGAAGGAGGATGAGGCGAATCAACGTGAGTGAGAGAAAGGGTGTTTTTGCGAAGAGAAAAGAGAAAATAGAAAAGAAAATGTCGCAGAGAAAGTACAACAAACGCGCGTTTGCTCGTGGAATTGCGGAGAATCTAGCAGATGGGCTACAGACCGTTACCATCTGCAAATTTGACCATCTCCATCACCTGGAGCTCCTGACACTTGCGTCGGGTGCCTCCCTTTTACAGCCTAAGTGCAATCTCATTACCAATATTGCCCTTTTCTCTCCTTGGGGGGAGACACAGCTCGGATGTTCATCTACGGTTCTTGTGCATAATAAGATATTCGAGTTGCAGTACCTGACTCTCGTCGTCCCGAGTGGTGAAGTCGCAACCATCTACCTCAAATAAATTGCGTAAGGTCAAAGCGGTTGGTGGTTTTCACTTATTGCTTTTACACAGACATCCTTGGATTTCGATAAAATATTCCTTTTCCGTTTGCCTTTTTGCCTCTATCAATTCATCGTGTCAAGATGCTCGCTGTTCACATGTGACTGATTACCTAATTATGCTTACTAACCGACGACCCATTACCATGGGTCGCCGTTTGCGGGAGATTTTTCTGCCGATCAATGACGTGCAGTTCTAAAATTAGCTTGAACAATAGGGTAGGTAGCCAAAACCGACCGCAAGAACGAGAACGACATTCCTTGAATAGACACATGGAATTCAAGAGGAGATTGAAAAGGTGTAAATCGCCTTTGTGTTACTGTAATTTCACCGTGCGTTTTCCGCGCATGCTATGGTGACAACATTGTGTCAGTATACGTGTATTCTAACCAAAGTAAAGTTTGGTATACATTTCACACTAAACAACTTCACATGTAACACTTCGGCCGGGTATGGGGAAGAAGAGCGCCACCATCCTCTTCTCCATGGGAAATCAGACACGGCTCTTATTGTTTGGTGACTCTTTACAAGGTCAATGTCAATATGAAGCTACAATTTGTTTCGCGAGAGTCCCCGATGATGAGGTATCATCCGGCGCACATGACGCCGGACGTAGGACGAGCGATATCTTAACTCCGTCATGGCCCAGGTGACAAGGCAAGGCAAATTGCACAATTTGATGACCAGAATGGCAGCTCGAGATAATTGAAACGTGCAATTCTCCCTCACCAGCGGTGTATTCCACTATATATTTTGAGTTTTTGGATACCTATTGCCAACCGGCAAAACTCGGGGTGGCCGGATTCAAAGGTTCTACTCTGTGGCGGCACTTCACCACCTGTATGCTTAATGTCCTCCAACTGCGATTGGCGGTACCGATCAAATGCCCCACGTTGACAAGGCTGGACATATGAATGGCTCCGAGCGTCTCGGGAGACCCAGACACCAGCCACAAAAACAACGCACCGACGACGGTGGATTGTTTCTGAGAGCGGCGGCTGGCTGAGTAAGACTCATCATCGCGGCTGTACTCGGTATGTAGAACCGCAATGTCTACGACCAATCGTGTGAGGAAATGAAGCAGTTGCGTAGATGGTGGACCGGCCTGGATACTATAGAAACCATCACCAGCCTCATCTTCTGCACATCTCGGCATCTCGGAACGACCGATTTCGAAGCCGCCGTGGAATCTGTGGCTAAGCTCAGCCACCTGAGCGTTTATCTGACCCGCACCCAATCGCTTGACCTGCCCAATCGAATTGCCCGAGTGTTCCCGAGCCCACCCTTGCAACAATTTTTTTTTCATGCCCCTAGGACGCGGTCCCCGGGAAGAAGGGAGCAGGAAAAAAGACCTCAAACAAAAAGCCGCCGCTTTTCATCACCGCCCTCCCCCAGACAAAACCTCAAACCTCTCCACGTCGAATTCCTCGGCCTAACCAGACTTCTCTTTTTCTTTCTTTCTCCCCACTCAGTGTTTGTTCGCTGCTTCAACTACTCTCGTCACAATGGCTGCTGCTCAGATCAGTCTCTCCGAGCCCAAGAAGCTCGAGGGATTCTCTCTCTACTCTCGTTTCGCCCTCGCTGGTGCCGTCTGCTGCTCCGTCACCCACGGTGGTCTGACCCCCGTCGATGTGTATGTTGCTACTCCCTCAATTTCTCTTTCTAGAGGTCGAGATCATTGCCCTTTTGCTGGCGATGGCCCCTTCTCTTCTCATCTTCTAGCACGTGAAACCGAACCGCCTTGGCTGACCGAATCTTTTCTCTTCGATACAGCGTCAAGACCCGTATCCAGCTCGACCCTGCTACCTATAACCGTGGCCTTATCGGCGGTTTCCGTCAGGTCATCCAGAATGAGGGTGCTGGCGCTCTCCTGACTGGTGCTGGCCCTACCTTTGCCGGTTACTTCCTGCAGGGTGCCTTCAAGTTCGGTGGTTACGAGTTCTTCAAGGCCCAGTTCATCAACGGACTTGGCCAGGAGACTGCCTCCAACAACCGAACTGCCATCTACCTGGCTTCCTCTGCCGCCGCCGAGTTCTTCGCCGACATCGCCCTCTGCCCTCTCGAGGCCACCCGTATCCGTCTCGTCTCCGAGCCCACCTATGCCAACGGTCTTGTCGGTGGCTTCTCCAAGATGCTCAAGAACGAGGGTGTCGGTGCCTTCTACGCCGGTTTCGGACCCATTCTCTTCAAGCAGTAAGTTCCAGGATTGAACGATTTCGACTGAGTTGTGCTTACGCCTCCCCTAGGATCCCTTACACCATGGCCAAGTTCGTCGTCTTCGAGAAGGTTTCTGAGGGCATCTTCAAGCAGTTCCCCAAGGAGAGCCTCTCCGACGGCATGCAGACCACTGTCAACCTGGGCTCTGGTCTGATTGCCGGTTTCGCCGCTGCCATTGTTTCCCAGCCCGCCGATACCATGCTTTCCAAGATCAACAAGACCAAGGGTCTCCCCGGTGAGGGCACCACCTCCCGTCTGATCAAGATTGGCCGTGAGCTCGGCCTCCGTGGCTCCTACACTGGTATTGGTGCCCGTCTCTTCATGGTCGGCACCCTGACTGCCGGTCAATTCGCCATCTATGGTAAGTGGCTACTAAACACCAAAACCTCGCGATATTCATCGAATTTTTTTGACACGTGCCACCTATCACCATCACCAACCCCCCCTCTCACTCCCCTGCTTCCTTCCTCTTCCGCTCCACACCCCCTCCATCCTCTCTCCTTCCTTCCCTCCCCCCCCATCACTCCCAATCCCAATCCGCCAGTTGCGCGCCCTCGTCCGCGCCCACCGCCAAAAACTTGGTGGTGCGGGTTGGGGCGTGGAGGTGACGGGAGGGGAAAGGCGTGAGATGGGGTGTGTGTGGAGCGGGACGATGACTAAGGGATGACCAATGGACGATGACTAACGAGGAGGTCAGGTGACTTGAAGCGCGTTTTAGGGGCGACGGGTGGAGCGGAGATTGCCAAGTAAGACGGACGGCGGCGGCGACGGCGACGGCGACGGATAAACAACGGGGCGCCGGACTGGGACCTGTCAACTACGGAGTAGTAGTGCTTTGGTTTGGTTTGTACATGACTGGCCGCGGCTGTGGCTTGGGGCCCCGATGGCTTGAACATGGCGTTGGGTAATAGAGCTTGCCGCTGGCAAAGCAAAATGAATTGTTGGTTTTTTCTCGTGCGAGCGAGACTGTCCATATACTGCGATGGACAAAGGGACTGGTGGTATATACACATACTATATATTATTAGATTTCCACAATATAACCAAGTTATAAAACTATGGGTAAGGTAGTATTAGTGTATTATATTTCTTATATTTTTTATACTTTGAGGAACTAAAACCCTAGTTCTTTTATAACTTTAATATATATACTTTTAATAAGTTATAAGCCTAAAATATTATAAGAACATTAAGTTATAAATTAATTATATTCATTAATCAATTTATATTATTTATTAAACTTTTTAAGTTTCACTACTTATTTTTATTTTTTCTTTCTTTATTAATTTTTTTATTTTTTTATTTAATTATTTAGGAAATTACTAATAGTAATTCTAGTAATTAATATTATAAATAATATGAATTTTACTTTTCTTAATAAACTTTTTAATTAATTAATTATTTTAATATAAATTTATATTAAAAGGGAGTTTAAAAACTTATTAGCCTTTTATTTATAAATATTATTTAATATTCTTAAATTTTGTTTATAGTATTTTAGTAAGGTTATTATTAATAATGTATTTTCTGAATAAATTATTACTAAATAATTATATTATTAACTTAATTCAGGGTATTAGTACTAAAATAAAAATAATTATTAAAAATAAAAAAATATATAATAATAATTTAGTTATTTTAAATATTAAATTTATTTTTAATATTTTGATAAATAGTGAGTATTATTTATAAATAATAAATTATTACTTTTACTTATTTTATATTAATACTCAATAACTCAAGTTATATAAATTATATAACTTTAGTAAATTAATTAAAAATTAAGTTAATTAATATTAGCCTAAGGTTTTATAAATTTTATTTTATAAATAAAAGTAAAATAAAATAATAATAATTTATTAAAATAAAGCTTTATAATAATATTAATAATAAATAGTAAACTTAAGTAATTTTATTTTATTAATAATATTGGGGCACTATTATAAATAAATAAATAAATAGGCTACGCACAGTGCGTGAGGCCGTGTAGTACTGCGTGCTATACTATTTATTTATTAATTTAACTCTGCTGTAGTTAGTTAGTAAAAAAATATAAGCTTCTTATACTATTTATTTATCTACTAATTAATAGTAATTATATAAATAATAATTTATAACTAAGTATTATTTTCCTTTTCTTTCTTTTTATTAATTACTAAATTACTTTATAATTTATTAAGTTACCTTAAAGATTCCTTTATTTATTTTCCCTTTATTTATTTTCCCTTTATTTTTATTTATTAATCCCTTAATATTAGTATATATATACTATTTAACTAGCTATAATAAATAATAAAGTAAATAGTATTATTTATAAAATTCCAGTATTAGTATATTAAGTAGTTAATAAAATAAAATTATATAATTATTTTATAAATTATAAAAATTATTAAAATATTATTTAATTTCTTATAAATATACCCTTTTTAATAAGTAAATAACTATAATTTTAAATATTAATTTACTAAATTTATTAAATATTAGCGCCACTAGTATAAATTAAAAAAATTAATAAAACCTATACTTAAAGAAAATATTACCTAACTATACCTTAATAAAGACACTATCTAGTTATACTTTATTAATAAAGTACTTATATACTCTTAAAAATATATATTATAAGTAAGTATATATCCTTAGGAAACTAAAGAAGGCTAAAAGTTAATACTTACTATAATTACCCTATTAATACCTGCTATAATTACCCCATTAGTGCCTGCTGTAATTACCCTATTAGTGCCTACTGTAATTACCCTGTTAATGCCTTTTAGAGAAAAAGCTGTTTTTATAATACTATATAGTCTAGTGCCTACTACTTACTTTAGACTAATATTACTAAACCTATTAATAAATAAAAATATATAAAAGGTAAGTATAATATTAATAAAAAAAGCTATTAGAAATTTCTAAAAAAGCTACTTCTTAAATCTTTTTTAAGGGTATAAATATATATATACTACTTAGTTAATATTTAAGTTAACTTAGTTTATTTATTTTAAAAAGAATAAACTATAGTAAAAATAATAATTACTTAAATAAATATATATTATATATTAGATAGTTATTTACTAATTTAAATTAAATTAATATAATTAAGTATTTATTATTATTAAAAAATAAATTATATACTTTAATATTATTTATAAATAAAAACTTAAAAATATATTTAATTATACTTAAAAATAATACTTAGGGCCTATTAGCTATATTATTAATTATATTATTAAATAAGTAATTTAATAAATTATTTAAGTATTTAATAAAGATTATAAAAATAGCGGGAATAATATAATTAATAAATTAGTAAAATAAAAAAATTAAAAATTTTTAAAAGTTAATATTTATTAATTATTTTAACTTTAATATAGTAAATAATATTATTAATAATAATCTAGTAGTTTAAAATAATATTAATTAATTTACTAAAAGTATTAAAAAAATATATTAATAAAGAAAAAAAAATAATATATTTATATAAACTTACCCTAGTTATTATATAAAAATACTTTATATTAATAAAAATTATTACTTTTTTTATTAAAAAAAAGTAATTAAGGGATTAATTAATACTTAATTAAAAGTACTTTATTAATAATTTTATTTAAACTAAGTTAATATAATTAATATATTAAGGAAATAAAAGTATATAAATAATAATTATTATAATAAAATAAATATATAAGTATAAGCTATAAAGTTTTTTTATATTATATAAATAGCTAAATTTATTACTAACTCTTAGTAATTTATATAATTATATTTATATATTAATTTAGGTCTTAGGGAATTACTATTTAAATCTTATTTATTAATAATTAAAAATAAATATTTAAAATACCTTAAAGAAAAATAATAAATATAATAAATAAGCTTAGTAAACTTAATATTTAGTTATATATTATAAAATATATAAATACTATAATAAAATAAATTATTAACTTTATTAATAATATTATTTATAATAAAGAATTAGAAAGTAAAAGGCTATTATAGTAATAGTTAATTAAAGAATTTTAATTTATATAGCTAGAGTAAATAAAAAAATATACCCTAAGGCTAAAATAGTTATTAATAATAATATTAAAATAAGTTAAGCTAGGATAGCTAAATAACTATTTATAATTATAAGTATAATTAATAAGTATATAAGTGTTAGTAAAGAATTATAATTTATAAATTAAAAAATTAATTTTAGTAAAATAAATAATTTTAGTAAAATAAATAACTTTAGACTAAGGGATATTAAATAAATAAAAAACAGTAGTATTATTAATAAATTAAATATATTAGTAATATTAATATTACTAAGTAGATTAATAATATATATATAAATATTAATAACTTAAATATTAATAAGGTTAAGGCTAACTTAAAAATATAGGGGTATTAAATAACTAAGGAATTTAAGTAGTTAAATAATAAAAAAAAGTATATAAATAATAAAAAGGCTATTACTTTTTATATTAATAAATTTTATAAATAATTAAATATTTAAATAAATATAAAAGCTAATATAACTTTATTATTTAAATATAATAAATAATAAAAATATAAGTAAATAAATATATTAATTAACTATATTTATTATAAATATAATACTACTTTTAAATTAAGATTTATATTAATAAAATATATAGTATTTAATATATAGAAATATAGGTAATTAAGAATTACTAAAAAAAGAAGTAAATTTATTTTTTAACTAGGCTAGGTAATTAAAGTATAGCTTATATTAAAAAACCCTAGGTTAATTAAATATATATATACTAAGATTACTATATAATTTAGCCTTAATAAATTAATAATTATAAAAAGTATAAATTTAAGTTATTTAAATATAATAATTAATAAAGGCTAATTATATAAGTATTTAGTAAATATAATATATTATATAGTAAATAAATTAAATATTATATAAAAAGTAAATAAATTAATTAAGCTTACTTAAAAAGTAAGGTTTAATTTTTATATATTAAGGACTAAATAGAATATATTAATAAAATTATATTTTTAAGTAAATATATAGCTAAAAAAAAGTCTAAAACTTAATATATTATTAAATATAAACTTTATATATTAATATAATATTAATTTATTAATAGTAAATAAATTCTTAATTATAAAATTAGTATATAATATTAAAGTATTAATAAAATAATATAGAAAAAAGGATAAATTAATTAGTATATATTAATTATAAAAATTATAATAATTTAGCTAAGTATATTAAAAAGAGTATTAGTATAATATAAATAATTAAAAAAGTTTAACTTATATAACTTTATAAAAATATATTAATTTATAGTAAATATACTAGGGGTATTAAACTATATATATATATTAAATACCCTAGGGATTAAGAAATATATAAGCTAGGTAATAGTAGTAAATTTAATATAGGAATTTATTATATTATATTATAAGTAAAAAGTTAAGTACCTAGTGGACTATAATATAAATAATTACTTTTTAAAAATAATAAAATAAGCCTAGGTAATACTAAACTACTAGAATAATAGCTTACTTAAGAATATTACTAATAATAAAATAATAGAAACTATATTTAGTATATTAATAAATAAGCTATAGGAAGTTTAAAAAGAAATTAATTTACTAAACTTTATACTTTTAAAAAAGTAAAAAATAATAAAAAAACTAATAAATATTAAAAAAAGACTACTACTTAATAAAATATATATTTATAATAAAAACCCTAAGTAAATAAAAACTATTTATTTAATTATTAGGTA